CAATGAATGATTTAGTACAAAACTAAGAAGGAAGAATAACTATTCCTTTTTTTAACAAAAGTGAATAGACATTTAATACAGGCTATATTAATATACAAAAGAAGCAAAAAATAATTATTGCCCAAAAAATCCTTAAAAGGAATATCAATAAATCAACATTTATTGAATAACTACCCAACAGAAAAGGTGCAGGGGAAACCAAGGGGTTAAGGTTTGCAATCTTGGGCCTCCAAGAGCTTTCACCTACTTTGGTAGACAGAATGAATGGTCAGGAATACTACAATGCAAGCAATGTTGTAAATGGTATATTCAGGAAACATTACTGTACATTACAAACTGAGTTGAAAGGGACATGAACTCTTTTAGCCCAATCCTCTCCCCTTGCACACCATCTTCTGAGACAGTATTTACCCCAAACGCACTAGGCATGAAGGTGTTGCACCCTCTCAGACAGTTCTAGAGCAACTGAAGACAGAAGGCAACAGGAGTTAACAAGCAGAAAGATACTTAGAAATATGGATTTGGAAATAAGCGAGTACCAAGTAAATACAATACTAATAATGTAGAACACATTAAGGTACCACTGTGACGGGCTGTACTATGACATGAATCCTGGTGAAAAACTAATGGGTTACTATAAAACCACTCTTAACTAGAGAAATGTTTAACCATATGTCTTGATTAGTTTTTCTCACTGCTGAGACAAAGTATCCAATGCCTACAATTAAGGAAGGAAAAGTTTACCTAGCTCACAGTTTGTGGAGGTTTTAGTCCATAATCAGCTGGCTCCAAGGCAGGGTGGCATGGTATCGGGCAACAGTACAAGGCCCCAGAAAACAACAAAAGCAGCAACTGCACAAGGTGGTGGGGAGGCCTCTTTTCCTCCCTTATATTGTAAGCAGGCTGCCCCCACCCTGGGCACGTGTAGCACTCACATAATCTGTATGCCCTCCTCTTGCACAGGCTCAGGATGATACAAAGTAAGGACCCCCTCCGCTGCTCAGTCACTTAGTTAACCTTCTAAACTTCTCCAGTTGACACAATGAACAGCATCCTAGAGCAGGAAGGGTGTGTCCTTTCCACCCCAGGATGTAGAACTGCTGAGTTACTTAGTTAAGCCTCTAGACTCCTCAAGATGGCACAATGTATCAACCACAACTATCCACTCCTCCTCAACTTGGCAACCAGAGACATTTCTCTAAACCAGTTTCCAGACACAGACATTATTTTTATTGTTTTACAACTTGAACATTTTAACATAGGTTTAACAATCCTTAAGAACCAGTATTAGGTTTATCAACATTATATTATATAGAACCATAACATTTTACCCACCCCCCAGAGACTCATGCACATCCCTTTATGCAAAAGGCATTTAGTCCACCTGCAAGAGTTGCCAAAATCCTAACAGTTTCAGCATTGCTGAAAAAGTCCAAGTCCCAAGTCTCCTCCCAGTTGTAAGGCAAACTCTTAGCTCCAAGCCCCTGTACAAATGAAACTCCCAACATTTAATGGCACAAAATAAGCATTCATATGCCAAAAGTTACAAACAGGGAACAAAGGAATGGGACCAAAGCAAGTCTAAAATCCAGCAGGGCAAACATTAAGTCCTATAGTTTCACGTCCAGCATCTGAAGCAATCTGTGACACACTGTGAGCTCCAAAGGGCTTGCATGACTCCACCCTTATGGCACTTTTTGTGGTTACAGCTCCCATGGCTTCTCTCATAGGCCCACTTTGCTCTCTCCTTGCAGCTTTTCTCAGACAATCTACATTTTTGGCTTATTCAAACGGCTTCTCACTCACAGCTTCACACATTGCCCTCTCAGGGGCACACTGCCTGGCCTCCCAGGCCTTTTGAAATCAAGGTGGAAGTCTTTTTAACCTCAGAACTCTTGCATTTTGCATGCACCTAAAACCAGCGCCATGTGGATAATGCCAGGGTCTGCTGCCAGCTGGAGCAGTAGCCAGGCTTGTTTTTGTCTTAGCTGTAAGGGTCAAGTGCCTGGATCACTGGGCACTCTGAATCTAATTCTGAGGAACAAATATTTTATGCAGCTACCATTTTGGAACCTGATGCCACTGCCACCACCATTTTGGAATATGGCACTTTGAAACTTTTTTCCCAAAGCAAAGTCTTTCACCTTGCAGTTTTGAGGCTGCGAAGGGCGGAGAGGTGCTGCTATTTGTGATGCCCTCAGGCCACCGTTTTGATTTTCTTGTTTCTCCTCAGTAATCAAGCTCTCCTGAGCTCTGTGTTTGTAGTCCATAGCTTTACTGGGGCTTCCTATCTCGCGAAACTCACATTTTAAATCATCTTGCTGGGCTCTTTGCTCTTGATTTTCAACAAAGACCTGGCTAAAAGCCCCCAACAATAGCCATGCCACCACCTCACCATTAGACTGCCTTCCTCTAGCAGATTAATGAGTGCACCACCCTTAATCTTAGTCTCAGGCAAAGTCTCTGGACATGAGCAAAATGCAGACAAACTTTCTGCCAAGCCATAACACACATCATCTGGACTCCAACAACCAATGCAGTCCTTCTTTCCAGTAGAAACCTCCCAAGCCTGGTTTTTACTGGCAGGATTTCTGTCAGCATTTTGTTTTTTAAGTTCTGACTAGAATCTCCCATACAGAACAGCCTAAGACATTCAAGTGCTACTCTTTTAGGCAAACCTTTTTAAACTCTTCCCACAAGCTAGTCCCAAAGGCTCTTGAACCACAAGATCAGGTGTAGTCACAGAAACAACCCTTCTTCTGGTACCAAATTCTCATTGCTGAAACAAAATACCCAGTGCCATAATTAAGGAAGGAAAGGTCTATTTAGCTCACAGTTTGTGGAGGTTTTAGTCCATAATCAGGTGGCTCCAAGGCAGGGCGGCATGGCACAAGGGCAATACTTTAAGGCAGCAGAAGACAGCAAAAGCAGCAAGAGCACAAGGGGGAAAACAAGCCTCTTTCCCTCCCTTATATTATAAGGAGGGTATCTCCCTCAAAATATCCCCCCCCCCCCACACACACACACACACACACACACACACACACGCACGGAGCATATAGCACTCACATAACCTCCATCCAGTCCTCCTGTACAGGCTCAGGATGATACAAACTAAGGACCCAGTCCCCTGCTCAGTCACTTAGTTAACCTTCTAAACTTCTCAAATTGACACAATGAACAACATCCTAGAGCAGGAAGAGTGTGTCCTTCTCACCCCAGGATGTAGAACTGCCGAGTTACTCAGTTAAGCCTCTAGACTCCTCCAGTTGACACAATGTATCAACCGTAACACCACAGAAAAGGAAAGGGGATAAATGAAGGCAAATTTCTACTCTCTGTTCCCTAATCACTTGTAGCTCTCAACTATGTATAAGACTACTTCTCTTCCAACCTATGCCAGGAGAGGAGGAGAAACTAGTATGTACTCAACAGCTACTCCGTCAGACATGGCAAGAGTCAACTGTCATGTATTATTTAACTTTACTGGCAAGTGGACTTCCCCAGACATGGGGTCAGGAACCTGCCTGCCTAGGATCCAAATTTACTGTGATATCAAGAGATGTTTAGAAGATAGCTTGAGGAGAAAGAAAGAGTAGTAGAGAGTTTTAAAGACATAAATCTGGCCTGGGGTTCTAGTCCTATAATTGTAGGACTCTCCAAACATCATTAGTCCTCTCTGGGTATCAGTTTCTTAACTCTGTCTTATCTACCTGATAGGCTCTTCTAATGATCAAAATGGGAATACGTAAAAAGGTTCTGTAATATAATGTATCATTGATATCCATTTATTCTCTGAACAAGCAGTAACTAAGTATCTATCCTAGTCCAGGCTTCAAGATTACAGGGGTGAAAAAGATTGGCAAGGTCTCTGCTCTTTCAGAATCTATGTTCTAGTAGGTGGGAGACATTAAGAAACTCCAACAATTAACTGAGCAACAGTGATAACTTCTCAAAATAAAAGTGATATGGAAAACACTGACTAGGCAAAGGGAACTACTTTAAGATGGGATGAACAAATAAGGCCTTGCTGAAGTGATACAGCTGAGACCTCAAAGACCTCTTAAGACTGTTATATGAAGAGTCAAGGAAACAAGTGTCGAGGCACAAAGAACAAGAGGAGTACTGCACATTTAGAGCACTGAAAGAAGGAGGTATACTTGGGACACGATGAGTGAAAAGAATGTTAGGAGACAAGGCTGAGAAAGCAGAGAGGGAGGTGGACATGTAACTATACCTGCAATCCCAGTATTCTGGGAGACTGAGGCAGGAGGATTCCAAGTTTAAGTCCAGCCTGAGCAACTTAGCAAGACCAAGTCTCAAAATTTAAAAAAAAAGAAAAGAATTAAAAAAAGAGCTGGGGAGATAGCTCAGTGTGAAAGCTCTGGGTTCAATTCCCAGTACTGCAACAAAATAGAAAGAAAGTACATAAGGGCCTAATAAAGCATGACCTAGGCCACTGACAAGATACTTCCATTATCAAAAAGCTCTTCTTTTTTCAACACAGCCTATGCTGTGTTGAAAGCATTTATGCAAACATCCAGTGTACACATCATCAAAAGTAGGACACCTCCAACTTTCTAAATGAGCAATACCACTGCCAAGAAACAACATACCAGCTATAAGGGCCCTAGACAAAATATTCTTAAGAACTACTTCTAAATATTTATCAAGTCTGACAAGTCAAATAGTAAAAACACTTTTTATGTACATGGAAGTGACAAAAACAGAATTTGAGTTTTTAACAGATTTAAAGTTTTCAACAGAAAAAAAATTAGTTCATTTAGTAAATATTTATCAAGTACCTACTATGCGCCAGGCATGTTCTAAGCACGAGACAAAGCAAGGAACAAGTCAATGATGAGTTACCAATAACTGAATAGAATATACACCAAAATATCATAATGGGAGAACTAAACCTCAACTTATTTTATAACTTCGCATTTTCTGAAATAGGGGTTATATGTTAATGATATGTACCTGTCAGAAAGCAAACTTACCAAAGAATTCTTAACCACTTCACTTCTATAAAATTCTGGAAAAGAAGAAAAAGAACAATAAGTGATATGAAAGAAAATAAGCTCATTAACTCTTAATCCTGTAAATTTTTAAGCATGTGTTCTAGTAAAACATTTAAAATACTTTCAAGGGCTCTATTCTCTGCTCTGTTTATCTATAAGTAAGAATAGAAATAAATATTAAATAAGTATGTTATACCTTTGTTTTGTTTTACTTTGTGGTATAGGGGATTACAGTGCTCTACCAAGGAACTATGCCCTCACCATGAAAGTGTTTTAAAGGGGGAAAAAACTGTAAAGAAAGTTAAAACCTTTTCAGATTTAATCTAATGACTATTACCTAACTAGATCCTTTTGCTAGATTCTAATTTAAGTCCTGAAAAACTCAAACTTTCTTCTTTCTTCCCCACTTGTACACAAGCCCATCTGTTCCAATCTACTCAAACACATCTAGTGTTTACCCATTGTGGTCTTGTGTAATGAATACTGACCTAGCAACCAAGTAATCTAAGCTCAGCTTCCACCTCTGCCACTAACATTCTGTCTCTAATTTCCTTAGGCTCACTTTTCCACTGGACAATCTACAGAATTAGAGTAATAATTGGAGTTTCTCTATAAGCATTAAAATGTCATGATTCTACCAATCTTCACGTGTGTTGGTAAATGTACAAAACCCAAATGCAAAATAAAAACATATTAGAGGACCTGACAGACATTCCCAACAATCCTCCAACACTTCCTCTGCTAACTCTGCCCAAATTACCTTCACACTACCCTTCCACTGCAGAGTCTACAAGGACCCCTCATATCCTATGGGCACTCTCCCACGTGTCACATACATAGACACCTTGAGATTATGAGGCAACACACAGACAAATGTATCATCTCTTTCTACTACAGTGAAATTTATGTTTCAGATATTTTACCCATAATCGCAAGCTCCACGAGGGCAGCATGTTGGTTCCATACAACTACTACTTCCTCGGCACCTAAAACCATTCCTGGCACAGGGTAGACAGTCAATTTTTTTTTTTTTTTTGGTTTTTCTCCGGTACCGGGAACCGAACTCACGACCTTGCGCTTGCCAGGCAGGCGCTTTTGCCGCTGAGCTAAATCCCCAGCCCCAACAGTCAATTTTTTTAATGAGTACACAACTTCACAGATTAATAGATATAAGTTTAAAAATAATGAAGTTACAGATAACACTCTATTTTGAGAGAAATCACAATATATATTAAATTTTTAAAAATAGATTCTTAGAGAAAACTTACAACAAGATCTCAATTTTTATAATTACACTAATAATGTTTAAGGGTATGATTAGGCTACTTATATTGATTGGCAGTTTTCTACTTTTTCTATTATAAAAAATGAATTTGAAACAGAAAAGGGTAATTCGAATCTTTTTAAAAGGAATCACTTAGTTGCTGGGCGTGGTGACGCACACCTATAATACCAGCACTCAGGAGACTGAGGCAGGAGGACTGCTGTGAGCTCGAGGCCAGCCTGGACTACAAAGTGAGTTCAAGATCAGCCTGAACTGCATAGCGAGACCCTGTCTCAAAATGACAAAAAAAAATAAAAATAAAAACAAAAATAAAAGGAATCTCCTACTGATGAGGGTTTAGGTTACTGTTAATTTTTGGATATTTCAAATAATGCCATAAATAAATAATCTTTTTAAAATGTGTATCCGAAACTCAGCACTGTTACGCCTACCTACAATCCCAGCTACTTAGGAGGCTGAGGCAGGAGGACTGCAAAATCAAGGTTAGCCTTGCTTAGCAAAACCCTATTTTAAAAATAAAAAGGGCTGGGAATGATGGATTACTTGCCCAACATACACAAGGCCCTGGGTTCGATTCCTAGTATGACAAAAAAGAAAAATATATATCTTAAAATACATGAATCTGTGGAATGAACCTTTAGAAATAAAATTGCATTCTCAAGACAGGTACAGTGGTACATGCAGTAGGATAGGAATTTCAAGCCCTTCATAGGCAACTAAACAACTTAGGAAGACGCTGTCTCAAAAACAGTTAAAGAGAGCTGGGGATATAACTCCATGCAAAATCCCTGGGTGCAACCCTGAGTACCACTAAAAAAAATGCAATATCAAATAACAATTTGACTTTGATAGATAAGGACAAATTGTTCTCTAAAAGTACTGTACCAACTTAGAATAACACGAAAATAGCTATTTCCCCAACACTATGAAATCCTACATAGTCTTTTTATTTTGTTCTCAAGTAGCTAATCAATTATTCCAACACATTAGTTATCGATATAAATGTATGTAGATATGTACCATTCTTTTTCTAGGGGAAAAAAGGCTAAATGGGGATTTACATGCATTTTTTTATTACAAAGTACTTTTACTTTCTTTTTTTTAACTTTCTATTTAATACATTTTGTACTCACTTTTCATTGTATTTATTTTGTTTTAATTCCTTGCAAATATATATTACTTTAAAATCAGGGAAGTAGGGGCCAGGGATATAGCTCAGTGGCACAAGCACCTGCTTGGCAAGTGCAAGGTCCCGAGTTTGATTCCTAGTGTCCCCCCCAAAAAAAGTGTAAAATCAGTGAAGCAGCTAGCTCAGAGGCACAGCCTTTGTCTATCATGCACGAGGTCCTGGGTTCTATCCCCAGTACTGAAAAATAAACAAATAAAATTAGTTTAAAACCAACAGATACTCCTTTTTTCTTTTGAGAAACAGCATTCCTTAGCTTAATATGCCAAGTATCCAAGTTAGCTCATTCTCACAATAGGTATCTCCATCTCTAAGAAGAGGAAGCGTTATTTCTTCCAAAACTTTGTTGACAGGCTGACCATATGAATGAACCAAACTAAATATGCATTTTCCATTAAGCTCTAAAAATGGACCTTCTAACTTAAAGGAAGAGAAGTCAACAAAGGGGCCTATAACTTGGGGAAAAAATGATCAAGCAGGAGGTAATTTCTAACATGCTAAACTTGTATCTATACTACCATTGTTACATTTGAAATACTGTTAATAAAACTAGCATCGTGGTACAAAACCTGAGCAGCAAACTTAGAATAAAAACAGTTCCAGTCCCCAACCCGTTACACATGAGCTTTGTGACCCCACACAGATCAATTAAACGTTTTAGGTCAAAGTTTCTTCATCTTTCAAAGGAGACTGATGGCCAAAAAATAACAGGGCTATTAGCAGGTTAAGTGAAACACTGAATTAAAAGCATACTATAGGGCTGGGGAATAGCTCAGCAGTACAGCGCCTGCCTGGCAAGCGCAAGGTCATGAGTTTGATTCCCGGTACCGGGGTAGGGGGGAAACCCCCCTAAAAAAGCACATTATAATCTCTGATTTTATTAATAAAACATTATTAATCTTTACTCATTCAATTTTAGCAAAATCACTTTGCAAACAGATTTTCAAAAAGTTATCCAAGATCTATTTCCATATGAAAGACCTCATTGGAGTCAAATTCTTCCTTAGGTACCTATGCTAGGACCTAAAGAAACAAAGTAATCAAAAGACTGCAGAGCACAGTCCAATGGCATGCTCTGACGCTCAGGCTCCACTCCATTCACTCAACAAGTGTTTTATTAGTGCCTCAACCCCACTCATGATAGAAGAAATACAAACTTAAACTATATATTTTCACTTAGACTGGCAAAAATTCAAAAGTATGCAGTCTACTGGTGAGGTTGTGGGGGAAAAAAGGCACACATACATTAAAAAAAAAAAAACTCCTCACACTCATGTTTATAGCAGCACAACTCACAATAGCTAAATCCTGGAAGTAGCCTGTATGTTCATCAACAGATGAATAGATGGTATTTATATACAATGAAGTACTACCTTGCCATGAGGTAGGATAAACTTGAGTCATTTGTAGGTAAAGAGATGGACCATTAAATGATAATGTTAAGTGAAATAAATCAAACAAGCTTAAATCACATGGGATCTCCTGTAAATCCAAAGTGTAAACAATTTAATGAGCAAAATGAAAGATAGATGATACAAAATAAGGAGATTGAGTCTCCGCAAATGGGAAAGGGAACTAGACACAGAAGGAGGGGAGAGTGAAGGGATGGCAAGGAGAAGTAGAAAGAAATAAGATGTGTCCTGTACATGTGCCAATTCCCTATGATGAACACAATCGTTATGTGCAGCAAACATGTACTAATAAACATAAAAAATAAGTAAAATGCATGGGACCAGAAACAACAAGAACAAAAACAATTCCCATGGAGGACACCTTTGCATTATCTACTAAAACAAAGCACACACTCACTTTGTCACAGTAACTCCACTTCCTGGCATTTACCCTAGAGATATACTAGCACACATATAAAATAACGTACTTGTGAAGTTATTCATTGCAAAGCTATGTGTGCAGCAGAAGTCTGGAACAACCTATATACCCGCCAACAGGAACAAATTAAATTATGGTATACCTATTCAATGTAAGCCTGTGTAGAAAAAATTAGGGAGGGTCCATATGAACTAAAATGGAAAAACAGGGTAGGCAGCGGCTGCGAGGGTGGGCCTTCAGGGCACCATACTGTTTGTAATTTCCAACAGCTTCCACCCTGTCTGCATCCCTGAGATGACTACAAGGTTTTACTCCACTGGGCTGAACCTATCAGGGAAGCAGCTGCTACGACCTAGATGCTGTTTTCAAAATACACTGCCAGTTTTTTGACTCCAGGAGGGATGTTTATTTCTGTATGTTCTCAGCACTGCTGCTGTTCAATCCTATGATCACTGTGATTATGCGGATGTGCAAGACTTTGAACATGATGAATGAAGAAGTTAAAGGAGGAAAGAAAAGAACATGTAATGACATAGCAGATGTAAAACCACAAATATATAAGCACTCCGTGAAGGCTTTAACTGTTTTCACTGTTTATGATGAGTACAGGTCGATTCTGCCCCTTCCTGAGCTTCACACCTCTGCATGTATGACTGACCATGGGGCCAAGTGCTGCACTTCCCCATCCAGCACGCTGTGGCTCCTCCTGAGGC